GACACCAGCAGCTCCTTGTACTTGGAAGCTTTATATATGGTCCTTGGAGCTTGTATATTTTTTCCTGTATTATGCCACTGACATTGTATTAGAAAATCTGCCTGAGGTGTCAGTTATTTAGGGTTCTGTCTTTGTAGTTCAGGGGAGCCGATCAAAGGTTTATGAGTAAGTAAAGAGTCAACGACTCACTGTGGTTTAACAGCTCCTCACCACATTAACTGTCAATGCAGACATTGGTATTAAAGCTGGTATAACTGCAGCATGTGAGCTCAGTGAGAGAGGTTTTCCACTTGACTGGTGCCAATAAAAGTTTACCTTAATTGGAGGTCTTATCCATGCACGCCTCGACTTGGTTTTTCAGGGCGTTTTCCAGTAGGTGATAGTACCTGCTACCAGGCACTTTTTTTACTACCTACTCAGCCAGAGTTCAGTGATCTGAAAATGTGATGTCAACAGACTGCACACCACTGATTGGCTAGTCAACTCAATAAATTACTCAATAAATCACAAGAGTTTCTCCCACATGAAAATCAACACGAGGGGAAATGGTGTCATAAAAAAACACCACTGTGGTCCTCGAGTCTGACAAAAAGCCATAAACTGAGCAGCCGGTATACTATCGCCTTGACGTCCCCCTTTGTTTTGGCGTTCGTGTCGCTTGCAAATGACATCACGGGACTGTCAGCTGATATAACAACCCCACGGATATTAGGTGGTGCTCGGTTGTCATGAAAAACGACCAAAACCGAGTCAAGTCGAGCCAAATAGCCCAATATGATGGCTGCTCTCCATCCAGTGATTTGCAGGATTGTAATGATTCTTTAGGACTGATGATGCAGGTCTGTTTCCCTGCTGCGGAGCACCACACACAGCTCCTGGATGGAACATTTCACAATAAATCAAGAACATCACTGATTCCTAAACAGAGGTGCAGTGCATACAGTGATAAAGATACAGAGTGATATGAAGATATTTTGACCTGTTTTCATTTACCAAAATATGCCAGACTGGCAAACAGGCACAGATGCTAAAAAGCATGTTTCTACAGAAAGTAATGCACATTTATTATGGGTTGATACATATGGTATGTAAAAGGTCTGCATAACTTCTAGGTCTGAAAAGTGAAGTCTCTGTGCAGGTGCCTTAAACCTGCATTTGCTGGCCACCAGGAGCCAACTCCTCTGGCTTCAAGGAAAACAACCCTCGCCTCCCATTCTCAATGACTAATGACTGCCCCGATGAGATGATTTTAGTCCCTGGTTTGGAATCTTGTTTATTACAATGTGACAGTCATTTAGGAAATTATGGTCCCCCACTGAACTTCAGAACAAGGATGAAACAAGATTGCTAGTTGGAGAGTGTGCAGTGTCCCTCAGATACTTGTGACATATGCTTTTAAAACACTAAGATGGCAAAGGATAAAGAACTCAGATCAGGGTTTCCCAAGACAATGTCACTAACCAGTAGGTGTAGTCACGGTAGCTGCATCCATCCTTTATATACAGTATGTTGTCTGATGGATTTTATTCTTATAACGGTGAGTAGGAGAAAGTTTTTATCAAATTGTGTGGAAATGGCAGAAGTAACAGAAAATGTCAGTTTTCTGTCAGTTAAGGCAACACAGATCTCTTTGCATTACGTTAAGCAGAAGGTTTGCGCTTACTACGTATTCAGCCTTTAAGGGCGTGACTGAGCCCTGGGCACAAGCTAGTGATGATGGTAACTGGTATATGGAAATAAGATGCCTATAAGCTATTTTGATGACTGCAAGGGAATACAGTAACAGAAATGGGATAAAGTTGCATCTAGGACTTTCTGCTCATTATTTTAAATTCATTTTGAACTTCTAACACACTTATAAATACCAGTAAACAGAAACAGTGATCCTCTGCTATCAGCTTCTTCTCCCCTTCCCAGGGGGACATCACAGGATCAGTGTGGTTTGCATCCTTTCCGGAAAAACTAACCTTAATTACCGCATCCTTGCTTGAAAATACAGTACTACTATCAAAATGTGTGCCTTTTATGAAAGGTCTTTTTTTTTAAAGTGCATAGCATGTCAAATGGATAGAAAATCTTATTTATTTTTGTGAGATCCTGACCGGTCATGTGCCATCACATGCTCCTGTCATGGCTCAGGTTGTGCAGTGATGACTCTGTTTGACTCAGCCTGTGCGTCTCTGCCGAACAGACAAAGTGACAAATGGTGATGTCGGCCCCGACGAGAAGAAGCAGGAGATGGAGAGAGAGAGGCTTCCCGAAGATGCTTCAGCAGGAGAGAATCAAAGGTAGCTTTGAGAACACAAGCTTGATTGTGATCCTACTGCATGCTTGATGGCCTCAACAGAAACTGTCAGTGTAAATCAGTTGAACCCATTAGTGCTGGTTATACTGTATAACTCCAATTCATAATGTATACATAGTTTTCAGGGCAGTGCCACACATGTGGGTTGTTAACTTTTCCCCCCTCTTGGTCTATTATACAAAAGGTCATCCTGGAAGGTGCTGTGTGATACCTGCCCACTCCCACCTCGTCTTTGAGGTTCATACAAGTCACAAAATCAATGAAGGAAATAAAGCCTTTAGAGCTTATTTTGTTATGTGCTGATTTGATAAAGTTTTCTTACTTCCATTAACAGAATCAAGGCCCTTGCCTCCTGCTCATGACTTAAAGTAGGCATTTGAAAATGCATTCAAATATTTAAGAGATTTGATGTTAAAGGGGACTGGAACTTCTGTTCCTATGTTTCTGTTTTGTTTTTGTTTTTTTAAATAAAGAGCATTAGTAAAATATAACATTGAAATTCAGTTTCTCAAATACACTGTAGCTCTTGATCATCACAGTCTAACACAGAGTCAGTTAAACTGCAGGGATTTCAGTCTGTCCAGTTAGGAAGGATCAAGCACTGTGATTTCATCTGCTTTGGTGCAAATTAAATACAGGTGCACTGGAGAATAGAATAGAATAGAATAGCCTTTATTGTCATTGTACAGAGTACAACGAAATTGGAGCGCCACTCCCTTGGTGCAAGTTTCAATAATAAATATAAATGTAAAATATAAAAAGTACAAAAAAACAATCGTAAGTACTCAAACAATAGTATGTACAATATATACAGGATAGCAGCATTAATATAATGACAGTATGAATAGCAGCATAATATAATGACAGTGACGGTATGGAATAGGTTCAATTGTTTTTGTGCTTATTTACTACGGTGATAGCTCTGGGAAAGAAGCTATCCCTGAATCTGTTTGTCCTGGTTTTATGTGACCTGTACCGTCGGCCTGACGGTAATAGTTCAAACAGTTGGTTGCTGGGGTGAGAGTGGTCCTTGATGATATTGCCAGCTCTGCTGAGGTACCGAGAGTTTGCAGTGACCTCCAGGCTGGGCAGAGAGCAGCCAGTGATCTTCTGGGCTGTGTTGATGACCCTCTGCAGTACTTTCCTGTCCGCAGCTGAGCACCCTGCATACCATGTTGTTATGCCGTACGTTAGGATGCTCTCTATGGTGGCTCTGTAAAATGTCACCAGCAGCCTCTCCTCCAGGTTGTTCCTCCTGAGCACTCTCAGAAAGTGGAGACGCTGCTGGGCCTTTTTAACCACCGCCGTGGTATTTGCAGTCCAGGAGAGGTCATCAGAGATCTGCACGCCCAGAAACCTCATGGAGTGTACCCTCTCCGCACAGTTCCCGTGAATGTAAAGTGGGGCTGGGTCTGCTCTGCCCTTCCTGAAGTCCAAGATAAGTTCTTTAGTTTTCGTGGTGTTCAGTTGGAGGTTGTTAACTGAACACCACTCAGTCAGTCTGTTGACCTCATCTCTGTAGTCCGACTCATCCCCCCTTGAGATGAGTCCAACCACTGTGGTGTCATCCGCGAACTTTATGATGGTGTTTGAGAGAAGCAACAACAAACAGCATCCCCAGGCACGTGTATGCTTGTGATTAAAATTTTTGGTATGATTTTGAATCTAGCCTTCACAAGGGTTGATAATTTTAGTTTCCATTGATTGTGCACAAGTGCTACATGAGCCATACATGTTAGAAGGATAACGTTTGGTCTTCCAAGGGTTTTTACTAAAAATAAATGAGTAAATATAAAATATCAAGATTTTATCCTCACTATTTTTTAATGAACTGTTTTAACCTTTATCCCTTTATTCTTTATTTTGGACTGTAGTGCCCCGAAAACTCAGGAGGAGTCCACTTGAGTGTCTTGCAGGCCTGAAGAAGGGAGATTTGCTGCTGTAAAACTGGGCTGATCACGTGAGATCTCGTGCCCAGTTTGTGACTGATGACAACCACTGGTTACCAGTTTAATTGATTTGTTGTTGTTTTTCTGCATTGCTGCTGCTGAAAGCTTTCATCAGCCCAACTCCAGGATCGCGACTGAGTGCATATATTTTATTTTTATGCTGTCTGTAATCTTTAACTTCTAGACACCTTCTGCTTAGATGCATCTGTTTGAGTAGTGACATGACTTGTAAATCTGCAACCTTGAGTTTGTCAAACTTTAACGAGGATGGGAGAGAGTTAGTGCGGGAACCATCTGGGGGAGGTGGGGGGGTTCAGCTGGTGGAGATGGTTTTGTTTGTTGGAGCATTTACTGATTCGACAGGTGGATCTTAGCCTCAATTATGGGAAATACAGACGATTATCTGTAGGTAGAAGCACCTTGAAAATGTCTAATAGCAGTAGATGTGTTAACTCTGTAAAGCGTGTTTCATACATGCCCACTTCAGATGCACGAAAACATAATTGTGGAGATTGCCAAAGTTTCTAGCCAAGAAAATGCTTTAATTTCTAGTCAGCGCCTGTTTTAGGTTTTTCTTTTTTTGTTTTTTACATAGATGTAAATAAGAGTATTTTTGTGCCTGTCTGATGACCTGTTTCAGCATCCAATAACAAAGTGGTAGCTGTAGTGCAACTGTAGTTTTTAAAGCTGATAGCACAGATATTGTGTGATAATATTAAACAAAGATTAGTCCACTTTCTGTCATCTGGATTTTTCTTAGATATTTTTTTTTTTTTTGCCTGTTTAACCATAGCGGTTATTGTTGTTCTGTTGCTGCCATTAAAAAAGAAAAATCAAATAAACATGTTGAACTTGGATTGTGCGCTTTTTTTCTTGGTAAACCAATGGATGTGTTAGCTGATTGTGTTTGACTGTGTTTGTGTTTGTAAGAGTCACTCAAAGCCAAAAGGCTTCATCAAAAGCTTAGAAGTACTGTGTAAAAGTCTTGAGCCATCCTTCATTTCTTAATATTTTTGCTAGAAAAATGGGACAAAACTGCAGTGATTTATTCAAATGTGTACAAAAATACATGAAGGAATAGTATATCCTCCTGAGAATCCCCAAACATTGATTCTGTTCATCTGGGCTTTAATCAATGGTCATGAGAATTTGTATATTAAGGATCAAGGAACTGACCTCCCAGCCCATTGTTGACTTATTTGAGCAACCCTACTAAGTCCTGATGTACTAAATGGAGGACATACAGGGTGTTCCATTGATATCTCATGTGTTTGGGTGGACTCCTTTAGCTCCAGAGAAGGGAAATCACAAAAAAGTTCAATGGGAAGATTGTTTTTTCCTCAGTTCTCAGGAGGATATAAGGCAAAAAGTTCTTAAAATTCCAACAACCCTAAAGTCAATAGTTTAGGTTTAGTTACCTTTATTCTTCAACAAAGCCTGAACTCTCTTAGGCAAGCATTTATCTAATTTCTTTAAGTAGTCTTAAGGAATAGTTCTGAGGTCTGGGCTCTGGGGAGGCCAATCCATGACCGATAGTTTTCCATTGTTTTTCAGTCCAGGTATGTTTTTTACTGCTTTAGCAGTGTTTGGGATCATTGTCCTACTGAAAGACTTACCTCCGTCAATGTACCTCCGTACATGATACGTACATGACACTGAATTTCAGTCCAGTTATTGTGCAGTTTAGCATACCTCTACCTTTTTCTCTTAAGGATGCCTTCTTGACAGCTGCTTTTCCACTGAGGCCATTTCTGATGGTTTCAGTGAACAATAGATTAGCCTTAATCCAGATGCATCACTTGGGTTCTGTATCAGGTATGTGCTGGAGTTTTTGTCTGTTTTCTAAGGACTTACGACACCTTTTTCAGCATCAAATTCAAGCACTTTTTAAGCACTTTCAATGTCCATTTTCAAGCTTTTCCAGCACATTAGCAAAAAAAAGAATGCATGTTTCACTTTGCATCACCTCAGTAACGCCATGTGAAAATTAAAACAAATCATCCTAGGTTGATTTAAATACCTTTGTTCCTCTTTTTGCTAAAACAAAGAAAAATGCAGCACACAAAAATAATGCAAAAGGAGGTTACCTTATATGCATATAGTGTATAAACTCAAAAAAAAAAACATTTCACTTAAAAATTAAGATGTGGAAATGTGAACAAATTAACTTGTTAGAGATGTCATATTCAGTAAAATTCAAGACTAAGAATGCACAAGCATCTACCTAAAATCTATTTATTTAATCTATCATCTATGATATTATTATGTACAATTATAATGTATTCTTCCTCTCCCTTAAATAAACGGGCAGCCTTAATATTACCATTATTCCCCCCTAGGTGTTGCCAAACGCACCAAGTTAATACTTGAAAAGCTGCAGCAATACACAAAAATATGACCAGTATTCTAATTACTTGGTGACAACTTTGCTTTTAGCCTTTAATTGGCTAGTTATGTAGTTCACAGCATATTCCATAAATTACCATGCCATAACTAACTGCTTTAGTAGCGCTGCCGTATTGCATCACACATAATACACATACACAACGTACACATACTCAAAAATGATTTACTAGGACTTACGCAAAAAACCCCCCATTGTGAAAAGGTGCAAATCCTTCATGCAGACTACTCAGGTGGGGGCGGGGGTCTAGTCTGTACAACGACTAGCCCAGAGAACACTGAATCACTTTCAGAAAGCCTGGACAAAGCTTTGCTCAAGACCACTTGAAAAATAAAAAAGTTTGACTAACTGGAAACAAAATACCAAATAGAAATGAGAAAGAAAAGGGGGGCGGCTCAAGACTTTTGCACAGTACAGTATAAAGGTGACAAATAGACAGCCTTTTAAAATTGTCATCTCACTAAGGTCGAGTTTCTGTTCCGTGTCACCCTCATTGATTTGAAGTACATCAAAATGAGTTAAACAAGCTGTATAAATGTCCACCAATCAAACATAACAACTCGGTTACTTTTAATGAATTCAATCAATCAAAAAGCTGTTTTGTGCATTTAAAAATCAATAACTTTACACACACAAAAAAAAGACAAACCCACACACAAGTATGCTAAACATTAAACTGACCGTGCTGCTGTCAACTGAACTGTTTATCAGTAAATGTTACTGTTTAGCTCAAAAAGGAAAATCAAACCCTAAAAAAAAAAAAAAAAACAGTTTTGATGACGTTGCAAGTATCAGACCATTTCCTTCTGAAATATAAACCATGTAACTGTATTATACAGCAATAAGTCATGAGAACCATTAATTAAAGGCACCCCGGTCCACATAGGGATAGGCCAAGAATTCTCCCAGTTTATTGCCTTGAGCGTCGTAGTGCATCATACGAAAGCATTTGTCACAGAAGAGACATGGGTCACTCGGAGCCAACTGGTCGTTGGTGGTATACCATCTAGAAAGACGAGATACGTGATCAGCCTTTAAAAAAATAAAAAATAAAAATAATAACACAAAGCTTCCGTTCTTTATGCGGCGCCCTGATGTCTCCTCACCTTCCGATGAAAACATGGCAGACAGCACACTTCTGGGTGAGGACTCTGTGCTTGTGCGTGAGCAGTGGGTACAGATTCTTGTCTAGACAGTCGTTCTTGTGGGCCAGTCTGTAATGGGTAAAGAGCAGGGAAGAAGACGACATTCTCACAGGCTCTGAGCGGTAGGAACACAGATTTGTCTCACATTCATGATATCAGGAGCTGCTTTCATGTGCGGTCGGCCTGCTTACGCCAACACTACATAAGCTCGAAGATAACTACGCATCCGTTAGTCTTGTGAGAAATGTTAAATCCCGTCTGACAATGCATCTCATTGTCAGATGGGATTGCTGCAGCTGACAAATCCACCTCCTGTACTGCAGTAGTAATCAGTTTATTACTTTACGGTTTATTAAGCACAGGGTTTGATGTTAACTCAAACCAGATAGGCATGAGTATTTCTTATTCATACCAAGCATCTTATTCATGAGGAGCAGAGATAAGCTAAAATGACCCTGTTTGGCTGCATGCTTATTTGGTTGTGTGATTATCTGGATGTACTTTACTGTGAACTCCACCAAACAAGAGCTGGAAACTATTAATACATTACCGGACTAACAGAAGATAAACATTTCGATGATTTTAGCTCGAACTTTTCAACTTTGACTTGGCCGTATTATCGACAGCTGAAATGTTCAGGTTTTAAGTTGCTCACTGGACACAAATAGAAAACTCGAGTTTATTGCACGTGTGCGTTTCATGTTTGCACAACAGCAATAAAAAGAAATAAAAATGACTTTGTTGTAATGAAAGAGCATCCATTAAAGCAAGTAAAGAATAGTTCCTGGTTGAACCTGGAATCATGGTGTGCACCAAGGTGTGTATTGTTAGGTGAACTGTTTATTCTAAACTGGCTGAAGGTGTCAACAGTTATCTGCCTCTCTGCATCTGCCTGTGATTGCCATTCACACTTTCAGCATTAATGCATGGGGTTCAACAAAAATCTTGCACTGTTTAGGAACTGTAACCTTTTTTATATGTAGGGTCTCCTGTTGGTTGAAATTTTTGCTAATAGCCAATAAATATTACTAATTCCTGTTATCCCTTGTTACAGAGCGAGACGTTAGAAAAGAACCAGGTAAATGTTAATAATCAAACTCTTTCACCTTGAGCTATTCAGCTGATATCTATCCATTTAATGTTCACAGGACACAGTGGGCTAAATCCTTCTTGATTTTATGTAGTGGTTCAGTAAGCTTCCTAAGCCTCCGTCCTGGTAGAGCCAACAGTACTGCTAGAAGCATGAAATTAAACCAGTTAATCAGTTATTTAAACTTCAGGGGGCCTAGTTTCATTATTACTGTACTAATTCATCTTAAAGACAGCTGTTATTCAACTGTTGCTGAACAGAGGTGCAGGTGTATAACGCAGTCTCTCTGTAATTTGTTTGAATTGACAGCAACACACAGAATATGACATAAATGTTATTTGAGGTTGTAATAGTTATAGTAATATATAGTAATAACCAAAACTGAGCAAGAGTTGGAGTGGGCTCTGTAAAGAAGTTGAATCGCAGAACTAGACAATGAGTAGCACTAACCTAACATCTGTGATGATGACCAGATGTTCGCAGTCGCCCTGGTGACAGTAGAGATACGGGAATCCCACTTTGACTTTCAGATCCTCCAAAAGTGTGTCCTCCATCTTGGCCTGGCTGTAGGATGGGAAGTTATGGGACTTAGCCCATTCAATTGTAGTCCTGCATCATAAAGCAAGAGGAGATAAGATGAGAAAAGATGTCTGTTATTCATCCAGAAGTTGGCAAATCCCCTTTTTATAATAGTTAAAGATTAAGTTAAACACAGCAAATGTTTAACAAACAGTATCTATGAAAGCAAAGAATAGTTTGTAGCTTAAAAAAGAAAACACAACAAAACAATTGTATTAGGGTAGAAATAAAGCTGAAATCAGAGTAAATATAATAAAGTAAAATAAGTGAAATAGAAAATAATGATAATAATAGAAAGATTTTAAAAAGTGAGCCGAGTTAAAAATTTAAATATAATATTTGGCGTATATTTTTTACATGAGTTCCATGGTTATTTCACAGAATGATACATAATTTTGCACAAGAGCGCTTAAGTCAGTGATGGATTTATTAAAAGCACAGCAAATATCAGATGACGAGTCCTTTCAGTACCTCACCACAACAGATTAGCCTGAAAAAGAAATACCAGGGGAAAGATACACTTCTTAATATAAATTATGCAAAACTTTGTGGATTTTTAATGGATTTCTAACATAAAACAAAAAACATTTGGAAAATCTCAGTCTAATTCCATTCTAACTGTAAAACTGTGCTTTTTACAGGCCCCCAAATCTGCTGTCAGCAAGCCGACATTCAAATATCTATATTCGATGTTAACTTGAACTACACTCCTGAGTAAATATTCACAGAGCCAACAAACAAAACTGAAGGACCGAGCTTAAAAAGTTTTCTAATTTAAAAATTATACCAGAAAAAAATGTTCCTGATTGGATCTTGGGAGGAGGCACAAATCAAGAAGGACCTATTAAGTAGAACTATCCTCTGTCAGATCTGAGATGATCAGCTGGGAAGTTGCTGTTGGGCAATGCGATAAAGTGCTTAGTGTGTGCTGAGGTGTAGATCACAACGCTTTGTGACCTTAAACTAAAGTAGATCTACAGTTAGCTTCTGCTCTTTAACAAGCTTCATGAGAATGCTACACAACAGACCAACATGCACTTTAAAGGGCTGAGCATGTCTGGAGATTACGTCCTCATCGATTACTTCAACTGGATTTATGTCTCTAGGAAACAGATGACTGTATCGATACGACTGTAGGTTGCAATCCAATGAATAAAGACACAAAAAATATCAAATCCGCTAAAACTGTTGTCTTTATTTACTGTGACCGGTCTACGTTTTATAAATGTGAACAGTTTGCAACGGTCAGACTAAGTACACTCTTCAAGCTTCTATCTTTATCTGCTTTCATAAGCTGCAGATATCACAGTGATTATTTGAGCGTTTCAAGTTATTTAACAAATCATTAAATAGAACTCTTGAATAGACCTGGTATTCATAGAAATCCTGCCCAACATTTAGATATTTTATTCCATTTCATTTTACTAACCTTTCCACGGCTCTCAGCTCCAAGCCCAGGTCACTCCTTAGACACAGTTTGCAAACTGCTGAGCACTGTAGAGTTATTAAACATTACTTAAACAGATCTAATAACTTTATTGTTTGGAATTCTTTCCAGACATGTAGGTCCATAAGGTTTTGGGCAGTAACCTAATTTTTGGTATTTTTGCCTCTGCACCAATGCACAATGTGAGCGAAGTGCAGACTTTCAGCTTTAACTCAAGGAGCTGAATAAATATATTCTATTAACTATTTAGGAATTACAGCAATTTTTATACAAAGTCTCTCATTTTCAAAGGCTCAAGAGTAATTTTGAATTTTGGACCTAAAACTGTACTTTAAGACTTTAACCGTTTTTACAATTTACTCAAATAAAAACTGAGAACAAATTTAAGGTGGCACAGAAGAAGTTAGCATTGATTCCCGCTGTGTGTGTGGAGGTTTTACTTCTGCCTGTGCAGGTTCTTTGTCTTCCTCCCACAGTCCAAATAGAGGCATGTTAGGTTAAAATGGCTATTCTGGTTAAGTGTCAGCGGTCGTTTGTGTCTCTGTCTTAGTGACAGACTGTCAACCCTGTCCTCTCACCCTATGAAAGCTGGCTGCCAACCTCCCGCAACCTCGATTTGGACAAGAAAATGGTTGACTGGACATACAGACGAATGAATAATTGGAAAAAACAATCCAATCTAGCGATTGCTTGCATATATGCCTGCAAGTGTTTTGAAATGAAAGCCTTGTTAAGAAGTTAAGGGTTTTCAGCCACTGTGGAGTCAGGACTGTTAATATGAAATGATTGCGCTAAATTTGTTCAAGTTAAGCACCTTGAGGGGGCCATGTCAGGGAAGCTTGCGTGTTAAACTATGATACATTTTTTCCTAGGTCAGCTTTATTACGTTTGCAATTCATTCACTCGTGTTGCATTTCATTTTCAGAGGAGACACATGAGTGCAGTTGATAACTGTTTTGACTGGCAGCCCTGTGCAGGTGAAATAAAAAGATGTTCTACTCTCCAAATAAGAGCAGATTGCAATAAATAATAAACTCAATGATCTCTCTTTAAACTGCCTATTGAGTGAGTCATTGCTTGCTTTGTCACAATCAACCCAAGACAAAAGTCAAAGCAACATGAACAAATGAAAATGTCAGAGCTAGTCTTGTTTACAATTACTTGACCACTTTCTTTGGTCAAATAAATAAATAAATATGGTAAAATGGCAAATGGCCTGTATTTGTATAGCGCTTTACTAGTCCCTAAGGACCCCAAAGCGCTTTACACAACCAGTCATCCACCCATTCACCCACACATTCACACACTGGTGATAGCAAGCTACATTGTAGCCACAGCCACCCTGGGGTGCACTGACAGAGGCGAGGCTGCCGGCCACCGGACCCTCTGACCACCACCAGTAGGCAACGGGTGAAGCTTCTTGCCCAAGGACACAACGACCGAGACTGTCGGAACCGCGGCTCGAACCGGCAACCTTCCGATTACCAAGCGGCCTCCCAACTCTTGAGCCACGATCGCCCGAATAAATAAAATAAGAGGCCCATTTTTAATACCAGCCTTCTACAGATTTAGGCCTGCTGCCTTCAACTGTTGTAAAGGTCCTGGTTAAAAAATGCATAATCTTTAAAGCTTCCTAAAGAAGGAGGTACTTACGAGCTGATGTCCTGGCACTCAGGAAACCGCATGTCATTGTAGAAAACTCCTTCAAAGAAGAAGAAAGCTGACTTGTAATGATCCTGAAAAAGAGCACATAAAATATTTTTCTCTAGCTTACAACAGATGCATTTTTAAATATATACATACATGTATGAGAGTCCAGTCACACTAAATGTACAGAAACAGTTACATTTAGATACGAAGAACAGCAATATTATTCTGTTCGGGTCCTGTATTTACCTTGCTGATGAATTCTGGAGCTACGTCAGGCGTGTTGCTGAACTCTCCACACACTTGCAAGTCACTGACGCAGCAAACAGCATCCCTGAGCTCTGCCAAGCTGTGGGAACCCGTCATCAGGAGAGTCATGTGGGGTCTGATGTAGTTAAACTGCAGGAAATGCGCCATTAAATATAGTATTCAACTACAACACACAACACAGTGGCTTTAAAAAAAAAAAAAAAACAGTTTTATGACAAAAGAAACAAAAACAAAAAATGTAACCCTTACTTTGTCGAACACAGCTGGGTAGTAGACATTGATGGTTAGAATGATCTCTCCTTCGGGAACCATGTCAGTCACCGTTTCTGGTTTCCTGCCAATGGTTAGGCGCTCCTGAAAAATAAGAGAGAGAACCAAGCCTCACGTTTAGATACAAGATGAAAGAGAAAACTAAAAATGTCTGGGAACCTGTCAAGAAGCCCCAGGGGATAATAATAAACACCTACTTTAGAGCGAACAGTAAATGCAAAGGTTAATTATGTAATCTCAGTCCCTAACTAAATTCACCCACCAGTTCATCTGCATAGAGGTCATGTCTGTTCTTTTTAATCTTTTTAAGAGAAGCTCTGTGGTCTTGCCTCTTCTTTCTTTGCCTGTATTAAAAAGAAAAGAAGAAGCAAGTCACATTTAAAATTGCATTACGATACTGATCAATCGCATTTTTCATTTGTATGAACTGAAGTAAGGTCATACACTAGTGTTCTTAATGTGGGATCTGGAGGTACAACTTCTGTGTCAGGCTGCTGATCTTCAGGATGACATCGAAGCGAATCAACACTTCAAAAGAAAGAAAAAAAACAAAGTCATTTGACTGTCTTTGGTAACAAGAACAGATCATCTTCACAGAGTTATCAGGTGAGAGTCATGCGAGTATCAGAATCGACAGGACTTTTTTTCTTTGACGTTTTGTTTCATAACGGCCATCATTTTACTTGCAGCTCAATTCTTGTTCCGGAGTTTGCACTAATTGACGAGCCTACTGTGAAACTCCTGGACTGAAATCAACGTTTGAAATAATCATTTATTTGAAAAGCAACCTTCCAGTGACCACAAACGTCATGAGACACAAAAAATAAACATCACCCACTGTCATTAATAAATGTCATTTTAGTCACCAAAAAAAAGGATAACAGCTGATAAATCGGCCCATCTCTGTTTAGTTTACAGACTGTGGAATGAGTTTATATTTTCACACTGTTAAAGCTGGCATTCATTTCTTTAAAGAAGAACTAATAACGTTTTGTTAACTGGATAAAAAACAAAAAATAAAACATCATTTAGTTTTTATGGAAATTATAATAAAGATTTTACAAACTATACAACTAATCAGGGAAACATGGATCTATTTATAATTACAACTGACTTAACCCCATAACCTAAAAAGCTTTAGTTTTAATTGACATTTTTACACGACTTACTTGAACGTAACATGGACGTTGTTCTATATTTCAGTGTCTTTACGCCAACCTTTGCAGTTGTTTTCCCTCTATGTTTGACCACATGGTGGTTTTTGTTGTATTTTACGGTAGTTTATGTTTCTGCCGCACATTGGGACACCCTGTAACTCTTAATTCATAGTTATATAAGTAAGTGTTACAGACCTCTTCCACGTTTGGTGTGTTTACTACCAGTTTTGGGACAAACTAGATTCAGCTATCAGCTATTACACCTCATTATGTAATTTAACTAGTATTCTTAATATCAGTTTACCATTACAATTACTGCAACTGAACTTAATTACCATTAACATATTATTATGGTGCACATGCCTGGTCTAAATGTTTATCAAATGTTGATCTCGACTACCTGCACACAGTCTTAAGTTCAGCCATGGTTTCCGCACCGACCCCCATCTCTTCGGCAAAGTTAGCAAGAAATGCGTCCTCATCCGCCTCCTCATACGAGTAGTCGCTTGGCTTCAGTCTGCCCAGCCACTCCTTTTTAAAAGAGCCTATATGAAATGGTTTTGTATTAACATCGGGATATTCGTACTCCGGGACGTTCACGTTTGCATCTGTCGTCTGCTCGGACGCCGCCATGTTTCCCAGAACCCAAAAGTGCGCCGAGAATCTTGGGATATGTAGTTTCAGCGCCACAGTGCCGTTTAGACCTTGTATGATTAGGCAAACGGGAAAAATATTGAACAAAAGAAAACCAACAAACAGCTTTCCAAACATCTGTTTCATATATTATATAGTACTGTGCAAAATTCTTGAGCCACCCCTCATTAATTTGTGTGTTGCGTCCGAGGAGCCAGACTTTGTTGTAATTATTAAAAGTGATCTTCAGCATTAGTCCTCCAGGGTTTGGACACTGGTGGTAAAGGCTCTAAATACTACATTTTTGGTTCAATTTTTGTCTCATATACTGTATTTCCATGTGTTTGTGCATGTTTCAGCAAATTGCTGCACCTCTGTCCTACATCACAATATAAAGCCTCAAGGGGTAGCTCAAGACTTCTGCACCCTTCTGTATCTACATCTATTGTACTTGCTTTTTTCCCCCCTCTAATGTATTTTTTATTTATTTTTTTTACATGGTATTACAGTCCTGTTGTGGACAAGAATGTCAGTACAACAAAACATTGAGGAAAGGCTAAAGCTAAATTTGTATTAAAACAGACTATTTACGTTAAATGACAATAGTGAATGAGGCTATTTAGGCCTCCTTTCTTTCTTTCTTACTAAATCATCCATGAACTGCTCTTCTAGTATGCTGTAATACCTCATTAGATTGCTTCGCTGAAGCTTGAATGAATGTGTGTGAAGTAGTCTGGCTTAAGAGTCAAGGAAGCTGGTTAGTAAGCAGACTCAGGAAACATTTTAAGTTCCCAAAGATAAGCAGTTTATTTACAGTTACCTCCATAACGTGGAACTTAAACCAAACCATCCCAAACTAACGCACGATAACTAAAAACCAAAAATGACACGAACTGCGCAACAGCGCTCACCTTTCCTCCCTCATCTGAACCAACATGAGACTGACTATATATAGGACTGTCAATTCACCTTCAGTTTGTCTAGCCTGTACCACTAGCTTAAGCAGCTGAATCTAAAACACAACACAAATAGCAGAGAATCACAAAAGGCTCACTGCTCTCCTGATTAACCCATTTAAACAGTTAAATGGCTCTATATAAGAAAATATTCTCGACAAATCACTCCATAATCCAAGAGACAAGCAAAAGAAAACATTGCTATGGAAAAAAAAAACCCTCCTCTTGGTTTAGCCTGACATCATCAGCACTTTAAAAGTCAGGGACTGCTGGGCAGACCCTTTTCCCCACACCTTTCCTATAGTGTAAGACCTAACGCAAAACAAAGAAAAAATGGTAAGTATGAACAAATGGGTTAAATCTGCTACATAATAAAATATAAAGCAATATATTATTGAATATTTGTTTTAATCTGCTGACTGTTTGATTCTGACTGCAACGTAATGCTTGGGGGGGAAACAAACGGTATAGTAAGTAAAGCAATGTTACTTTGGCCATAGCTAAGCATAGCAAATGTACATGTAGAGAATGTGCTTTGGTATAAAATGTTGACACTTATTAGAAAAGTGGTGAGTAGAAAAGTCTCCTGACAGCTCACTCACTTTGTCACAGTGTAGCGCAGCATGAGAAATTAGGAGAAAAAAAGGAAGTGATTTAGCTATGCAGGGACGTCACATGTATGCAGATAATCAGAAATTGTAACCCGTTCCAAGTAAAACACCCTGCGTACCGCCACAGCGCATTTACGCCACATCAGCTGCATGGGGAACAGCTGGAGGGATTGCCCCTCGATGACAGAATAGTCTTTTGTATGGGAAAATGTTTTCCTCGGGTTCTCCGCCTCCCATTCCCATGCACTTTGTACAGTTTTGAGATAAGTTGTACTTGACTATCTCCTTTTCATCTTTTATTTGGGTTGCCTTTTTCGCTCAGATTCATTTATCTATTATCGCTCATCTATTGTTATATAACAAAGGCAAACTGGGGCTGATTGTCAGGGCAAAAGTTGAGACATTCACTCGCTGAATGTCCAGGAAAATATAGCAGTACATTTAATGTAAAATGTCTAATGTCACGCCTTTCAGTGTAGGAAGAGAAGTGCTTTTAAGGAGAAAAATTAAAGATCTCGGCATTGCAATGCTTTGAGGCAAATTTGTGGGCTGGTCCTAAAAATCCAGGCCACACCCAACTTCTTACCTTATAAATGGCAAACTACCGTTAGTCTGCGCTTGGAGTCAGTGTCAAGACTTGTTGACTTGTTGCTACAGGGAAAAATATCAGACCTTTTATTTTTCAGTGACTTGGTTTAACTGCTTTTTATTTAACTCAAGCATCAAATGGAGGGTGAAGACAATTCACTACAACAGGTAGGTTCCCTCACATTCTCTAAAGTAATGTAATGAAAGAGGCAAGCTTTTAAAGGTGAGTGAATTTTAATGGTTGTTTCTGGCTTAAGTGCTTTTATTATAACTTTTGTTTTGCATGTTACTTTGAAATATTAAAGTTACATGATTTCAAAATAATAACACCCAGTAAACATAGTACCAAAAAGCCTTGAAGAAAACTCTGGATAGTTTCATTTGTTTAAGATGCTGTGGCAAAGGGCTTTACTGTGCAGGTTAATCAACACACTGAATATCAGCTCAGTGAGAACTGAAATGAATAAAAAAAAAAAAGCTAACTTACACATTTTGGCAGCTTTGATTTCAAGTGTCTCTGCTTGTTTTCAGGTGGGTTTGAAGCAGCCCAATGAGGATGCAATGTAAGTGACATCATGCGATGAATATGCTTATTGTAAGAGTTCTAATGCATTTATCCTTCATATTTCAGAGTTATGGAACAAAATTCTTTAGACTGGCTCCATCATTTGGTTTTTGTTATTTTGAATATTCATTTTTGACTCTTTGAAAAAAAATGTATTATTATTATTATTCAGATTGCCTGAAGAATTGCCTAAAATGGGTTTGGAGACAGCATTGAAAGAATGCTTCACTGCCCTCAATTTCTTCCTGAACAACAGGTTTGCCGATGCACTGGCTCTTTTAAAACCCTGGTAAGTCACTGTTGCTCTAACAAACTGACTATGTCCCCTTTAATTTGTTCATGTATTGGAACTTTATGACGGTATTTGGATACAGGTTGTATTTTTACTGTGGATTTGCAAAAAAATCCCCAAATTTTGCTGCCTTCCTATCCTCTAGGAAGAGTGAAAGCATGTACCATGCAATGGGCTACAGTAGCATTCTGGTGATGCAGGCCGCTGTGACTTTTGATGCAAAGGACATGGATGCTGCCATGACATCACTGAGAGAAGCCTTGCAGGTCTGCCAGAGGTATCCCAATAATTAGAATGACCATTTGATAAGGTGTAAAGTTTTAGGATCTTTGGGTTGTTAAAAATCAGTTTCTTAACAACTTTAGATTTCGGAAGAAAACGGGACTAATGGAAAGCTTGGCTAACCTTTGGTACAGACAACCAGCTGACAATCTGACAGAAGGCGAGTGAATTACTGTATCTGCTGACTTTACAGCTTGGGGAATTAATGAATTTGATCAACATGGTGAAACATGACATTTTAATGGCTGTGTCACCTTATCTGCCATTTATTAAACACACAAACAAAACAAGACCTTTGTAATTTTTTTTTTCCCACACATAACATGATGTTGCATTTCTCATTATCAGAAGAGATGCATGCAGAGCTGTGCTATGCTGAAGTCCTGCTGCAGAAAGCTGCCCTCACGTTCTTGGATGAAAGCATAATAGGCTTCATCAAAGGAGGGATGAAAATTCGACACAGTTATCAGCTTTACAAGTAAGAGGTTTGGAGGCGGTGTTTATAATAGAAATGGCCACCAAAAACATTTTTATAATTTTTTTTTTTTTAAAAGAGATCTCTTATTATTTGAATTAATGTAAATATGTTTTTCCAAACCAGGGATTGCCAGGCCATGGAAAAAGTCACAAAGGATGAGGAAAAACAGAGAAGCACACACATTCATTTTAGGGGTGGGGTCAGCATGGGAATTGGATCATTCAATCTGGTGAAAAAATAAGATTTTTTCCAAAATATTACAAATAGTTTTATTTAATATATTTAGTAACAATGTTATATTATTTTTGGTTTATATTTGTTACCAGATGCTGTCTCTGCTTCCATCCAGAGTCCTTAGACTGATGGAGTTTTTGGGCTTCTCTGGAGACAGGGTAGGTGAGACCACATACATACCAACAGAACTCAATAAGTGTGGACAGCAAGTGGAAGTGGGTCTGGAGAAGTAGAGTTATGCCATAGAGAAAAGAGGAATGAAAGTTGGTAGAGACAGAATACATGTGTGAAAGAGAGGGAGGCAGGCGGAAAGGTGAAGCTGTAGTGAAGGTAGACAAGTTTAATGGATGTAGTGAAGGAGGACATGCAGAGGGTTGGTGTGACAGAAGAAGCTGGGGATGGGGTGAGACGGAGGCCAGTGATCTGTGTTGACGAGTCCAAATGGGAGCGCCCCAAAGAAGTTGTCCTGTCCTTAATATTTTGTCAGTTAAAAGAACTGAACTGTCTCGCAGGAAGTGGGTTTGTCAGAGTTGAGAGAGGGAGCAACTACCAACAACCTGCGCTCCATCCTCAGCACCCTCACTCTGCTGATGTTTCAGCTCTACATCACAGTGATACTTGGTGAGCACACTGTAGGCTGGGGCTGTTGCTTCTCCTAAATTCAAAAATCGTGTCTAATCTTAAATAATACCAAAGTCATCATTCATTTGACTTTAATTAATGTGAAAATGATTATTTAAGGGACTGCTGATGTAAACCTAAGTGAATGTGAGGCTCTGCTGAAACCCTACTGTGAAAAGTTTCCTAATGTAAGTTGTGGGTGTACCTTACTACTTGTGCAAATATTAAGCTTTTAATGCCTTTTAGTGTAAAAACTCTGACATTTTTCCTTTATAGGGGGCTTTAATGCATTTCTTCAGTGCAAGGATTGCTGTCCTCAAAGGAAACTTCACATTTGTAAGTACTCATGATGTCTAATGTATGTATTTATAGAACTTTCTCTCATGTAGTTATTGCTCTGTGTAGGCCCAAGAGAAGTTCTTGGCATGTATTGCATCGCAGGAA